TCAGAAATCCTTTGTTCGCTCTGTAGGGCGGACGATGACAGAAACATGATTACACGAGACGAAAACAATATTAAAGACGGCAGCTTATTAATTGCAAGGCGATAAACCCGAGGCCAGAACGATGGCATGCACGATGCATGCTACGCGCAAGTAGCGCGTCGCTCGTTAGGGAGGACGGTACACGGGGCGCTATCTTGAAGAGCACAGCCACCTCTCGTAAGAATTCTCGGAGAGCTCCTCGACGACGCTCGCCGATAATTGAGAAACAGCCATCGGCCGCCGTAAAGCGTAACGTAGAAAAATACGCAGTGCTCGCGGCAGTTTCGCAGGGAGGCTTTTTCTCGTGTGCCCGAGAATAACTCACGACCGGTCGGCGATCGGTCGGTAGTACCGGTCGGCGCCTGGAAAAGGCGAGGGGTTCGAGAGAAAGAGAGCGAGAGAGGAAGGGAGGAGATCTCTCCCTGAAATCTGGCCCCTCCGAGAGGATATCTCGCGAGAGACCGGGCGATAAATCGAATGACTTATTACCGCGAGCCGCGTAATCTCGGACTCACGAAGAAATGTGCGAGGCACGTCGCCGGAAATAGATATGTCGCTGGCCGCGAACTAGACCCGGTCGCGCACCAAAAACGCGGACCATGAATTTTACATCAGCATCTGACTGAGGCTGGTGAAGTCTCAATCGACATTAAATCGGGATCGCACAGAGCGTCCTCGAAGGAAAGAATGGAGAAGCTGCTGCCGTCGCCGCCGCCGCCGCCCACCGTTCTTCACTCAACGTTCGCCGATTGATTTACGACTGACACGGTGCAACGAGGGCGAGGAAAGCGAATGATCGATCTCAGTGGGGATTAGGGGGCAGGTCGGCTTGATAACGAGGGGGAACAACGTGGAGAGGATTTCATAAGGAGCGGCACCGCGGCTACGACGCTCGGGGTAACAGAGAGAACGAGGCTTTACGAGATAGTCGCTCGATTACGTATTACGATCCCGTCGTAATTCCATGTTCATTTCACGCGAATACAACGCGGAAGTTATGACGTTCGATGGCTCGCGTGATATAAACGATAAAGTATTGCCTGTGTATATACGATACACACCCACACACACACACACACGTACACACACGCATAGCATGCGCGTATCGCCAGGGAATAACGATTCGACACGTGTGCGCGACACTTCCGCGAGAATTTGTCAAGCCGTTAACAGCCGGATCATCTGTACCGAAAAGATTTTATCGCCTCTGCGAGCGACCTTTAACACACGAGTGCTGAGTGGCGAAGGGATATTAATGTCCCGACTCCGTCTCAACGAACCAATAAATCCCGAGTTTAAATCCCGCGGTTTAACTTTAGCGCTGCCGAACGATGAGCGCGCGCGCGCGCGCGCGCGCGAGTTCAGTCGTCGGGCACGGTATTTCGCCTCAGAATGTTTATCGCGGAACTTTGGTATTCCCGCTGACTTATGACTTCGCATATTTCGCCGGTCCGAGCGAAGTCACGCTTAACCTTCCTCACCGTGTTCGTTTTCAGCGCTACGCTGACTAAGCCGGGGAGGATACAATGTTAAAGTATTCCACTGCTTTATTAAGATGTATGTAATGTACGAGTGGCCGTTTCTCGCGCCTTCTCGTAGCCTTTCTCGGAGTCCATACGTGCGCGAGTCGCCTTCGAATCGACGGCAAGTTTTTCAGCAACGCAAGCGAGGTGAGAGAGTTGAGGGACTAAATTTCCGAATGCGTTCCCACGATCTCTCGACAGCGCGTCTCTCGAGCAAAATCTCTTCTCTCGGAAATCGCGAGTTCGGCGGGAACTGCCACGGCGCGGCGCGGCGGCTCCGTATATATCCGCGTGGATTAACGTCGCAAAAATCCACGAAGGAGCCGCGGAGCGCATCGAAACTTTGCCGTAACTGTTCGCGACATGTCGATGTTTTCCCGCAAGTGGAGTTACTCAAACCGTCCGCGCGCGCGATTTCATTCCGGCCGAGTCGCGGCCGCACGCCGCACGGGCGAGCGAGCGAGCGAGCAAGCGAGCGAGCGAGCGAGCGAGGGAACGGCGCGGCCGAGCGAAACTTCGTTGACCGGACAGAATGCAGTTTTGTCGCGGCCGAGTGCCGATGCGCCGCGATGGCAGATTGCACTCAGTGCACCGCGGCTGCTGCGGTGATTCTATTATACGTTGCACTGTCACCGAACGTGTCGCCCCATAATTATGATTGACGAACCGATTTATTATACGCGCGTATACACGCCACTTTCAGCGTAATCAGTTGCGCGTAAATTGTATAAATACAGCGGCGCATAGCCGCCGCTTCTCCGCGTAGGCTGTAACAGGGTGTAACAGCAACGTACAGATCAGTATGACGGGTTGCTTGCCTCTATTCGGATGATAATGCAGAGGTTTCCAAGAAAGTCACTCGTTGACTTGGTTGATAATGATATTTGCCGTGTTCCCAGTTATGACAAATGCAACTAACTTTGCACCGTGTTCGTTGTGACAGTTTATCGACATGAGTCGAGCCTCATTGAATTGAAAAAGATATTTGAAAAATGAAATTGAGAAATAAATATTACGGAATAAAGCAGAATAAATAAGAGTAATATTTAAAGAGATGAATAATACAACATATTTCTTGCATTTTTTGCATTTCTTAATTTCTCAATTGTTTTCTCACGTTGGAAAGTTCGATAGAAATTGGAGATTAGGAAGAACGATACAGAAATATTTAAAAGTCTTATATACTGTATTTCATCCGTGTTTCTGGAAAAAATCGCTTCTGCAAAAGTATGAATAGACTACAAACGCAATATACATATTGGTTGCAATTTAATCGACCGCAATTATCAAGCTGCAAACTTTCGAAAAACAGGCCCTATTTTCGATGCCAAGATACAAGACTGCAATGTACCGAAAATATGTCGCTTGATAGTTGCGGTCGGTTAAATCGCAACCAATATTTATACTGCGTTTCTAATCCATTCATACTTTTGCAGAAGCGATCTTTTGTAGAAAAATAAATGAAATACAGTATGTAAGACTTTCAAATATTTTTGTATCGTTCTTTCTAATCTCCAATTTCTATCGAACTTTTCAACGTGAGAAAACAATTAAGAAATTATGCAAAACCAGGAAATATGTTGCATTATTTATCTCTTTAAGTATTACTTTTGTTTATTCTGCTTTATCCCGTAATATTTATTTCTCAGTTTCATTTATTAAACATCTTTTCTAATTCAGTGAGGCTCGACTCCTGTCGGTAAACGGTCGATAAACTGTCATAACGAGCACGATGCAAAGTTAGTTGCATTTGTCATGCACTGGTTAGGTTAGGGAACACGGCAAATATCATCATCAACCAAGTCAACGAGTGACTTTTTTGGAAACCTCTGCATTATCATCCGAATCCGGAGCAAGCAACCCGTCATACTGACCTGTATGTTACTGTACACAGCGTACACAGCGAACGAAATCCAACTGTATTTTGACGAAAGAATCTAAAGCCTGATTCACAGTGGACTCCTGTTTCTTATTCTTCATCTTTCTCTGGCTTGAGACTTTCTCCGGCTCAGATCAAGTAGAGATAAGGAGAAAGAAACGGAGAGCAAAGAGCGTATTATAGATAATAGAAATTAAAATTAGACACGAGCGACAATTTACACGAAAGGCGCGATGTACGAAACGGACAATTAGCGAATCGTTTTGCGCGACATGTGCTTCTTCACACGTTTTGCATCCTGCTTCGCGCGACTAGACTAGATTTAACGCGCCGATCGACTTTCAGCGCCCGACTAGCGGCCCCAAAATGGCGTTAAAATATAGTCGCGGGAGTGGCGTACGCTGAATTATGTACTCGTCTAAAGTTATCTTCGGATTTCTATATCAGGAGGGAATAGCCGGACCGAGTGACACGGCGCCGCGCGTTGCTTGATAAAAGTCGCGGCGTGCAGAACGAGCGCGGCTCTCCGGTGCAGACGTCCTTGAATGCTAATAGGCAACGGATATATCATATTTATGTATATCTCTCGCGATCTCTCAATGATTCCGTATGTCGACGGTACTGACAAATTTACGAAAAGATAGATCAGAAGATCTATCGCGCGAGGAGGCGACTGTACAGTGTTACAGCGCGAACGAAATATGAGATCGCAGAGAGATCCTCCCGGAACGTTCGCGAAGCGAATCGAAGTCGGGAATTTTAAATTCTCGAATGTTCCTCACCTTTCGGCTGCCGGTCGCCGAATGAGCAATGCGCGACTACGTAACGTGGATGGCTGAAAATTTGCCGAGCGAACTTCCGCCCGTTGCCAAAGCTCCGAGAGCGTCAGTCGCCATTATACTGGTAGAAACAGAGAGACGCCCAAGAGACTGAGTGAGCGGGTAAGTGCAAGGCTACTCGAGATTTCGGAGCTAACTGCCGTTAAACTAGTCTCGTTTGAGGCGCATCGGCGATCAAACGTATTATAGGTAAATCGAGCGCTCTCGCCCCCCCCCCCCGCTCCTCGCCCTCGTCGTCACGTAAAAGTGGATGCACGTTAAAGTGTTCCGAGTGAAAAAACAAGAAGAGAGAAGAGACTCCGTCGCTGTCGTCGGAGAAACATTCGAGGATCGCACGAGGGTGACGAGGGGTCCGAGAAACAAGCAATTCGCCAACTTCCAACTTCGGTGCGGCGCGGCGATTCGCTCGTCCGATTCCGCGAGTCACGGCACTCGGCGATGCAACGCTCCAGAAGCGAAATTCGCCGTATCGATCATTACGACGTCGTGGCAGGTAACCGGTAAGTGTATAACTGGCTTCGTTATACTCGAGAGCCATCGGAGGGAGGTTTCACAACCCCGCCCGGTCTAGCCTTTCGCTCGTCGATAGTCTCAAAGCCGTCGGAGGAAATATCGTTCGCCGTCGAAACGGCCGGCAGACGGACGATAAAGAGAATCACGAGCGCGTGCAATCTCGCCGTAGAAATACACCGAAGGTGCGTCCGGCGAAGAGAGACTTACCTTGAGGTAGGACGGTGAGCAAGAGGACTAATTGGAGACCGGCGGCGACCGTGGTACAAAACTTTATTCGCAACTGCGATAGACTTCCCTCCTGGTACGCCATGGCAGACGAATTTTCGCAGGCTGCTCGGAGGCTCGACACCGACTTGCCGATGTTCCTTCTACCCGGTGTGGGCACCGAGGTGGGGCCCTCCCCCCCCCGTCTCGTGTGGCGACGCACTGCACTGCTATTTCGTGTTCACCTCTACATGCAGCGGTCACCGCCGCGAGTATCGCCGCCCGGAAGCGCTTTGTCGCTCGCTGCGCCACTGATTATCATCGTGCAGGTGTCACGAGTCGAGTTCAATTCCGCGCGAATCGTCCGCTAATCGATACTCGATGCCTTTGCTAACGCACCTCCCGACTTCGCCGTCATAACCAACGTTCTCCCGCGCTCCTCGGTTGTGCGTATCCGCGAGCTCTCGATCGCTGAACGCCGGCGTGTTATTGCTCGCGGTGACGCGCTACGTTCGCGCGACGATGCTTCCCAGCATTTCGAGCATTCTCGCGGGGAAACCTGAAAATAATGATATCGTACGTGTCAACGACATCCTCCGCGCTTCTCCACCTTCTCCTACATCGCGCGCGCGCGCGCGCGCGCGGCGTCGTTTCACGGCGTGCGTGCGTTGCGCTTTTCTCCGCTCGCCGAAATTCGCCTTCCGCCTGTCGACGCGCGCCCCCCCCCCCCCTCCCGCGCGATAATCGATGCTCTTATTAATTTCTGTCTTCAATCTCGACCCCGGACGCTCCGTCCGTCAAAGTCCTGCTAATTTTTAATGATCGACCGATTTTTATCTCGCGGTAAACGTTCGTGCGGATTGAGAGAGAGAGAGAGAGAGGGAGAGAGAGAGAGAGAGAGAGAGAGAGAGAGAGAGAGAGAGAGAGAAAGGATAGAATTGTATTCTTCGTAACTCTCTTATGAAATAGCACTCGTCAATTTTCAAGTAATGCCGAGAAATGTTCGGAGACAGAGAGAGAGAGAGAGAGAGAGAGAGAGAGAGAGAGAGAGAGAGAGAGAGAGAGAGAGAGAGACTTTCGGGATTCATCAGTATGACCGACGAGACCTCCGGCGAAATAACAAACCGTCTCACTGACGAATCGCCGAAATGTCTACCGGGGAGCTACTTGTACAAACGAGACCTCGATAAAAGCACCGTGGAATATGTAACACTTGAAATTGTGCACACGAACATCGCCGCTGAAATTCATATACGTTGCCGACATTCTTCATTCGTCGCAAAATAGCGAAAACAAGCACTCCCATTCGACTAATACCGATCCGTCCGTTCTTTTACGCCGAGCGTAACGGTTGCGGTCGTTATGGACACCGAAGATTTACGTGATTTACAAGCCCGGCGGGTTGATTTACTATTTCACTATCAGCAAGAAGGGGTTTCCCGTATTCCCCTTGGAAAAACGTGCGGTGACTGAGGACGATCGGTTTCGCCGAGTCCCGTTATCGTAAATTTTCTATGTTCCTGGCGAGACCGGATGAATTATTGATATAATTGAAAAAGCGCCACATATGCAGACTCGCGTATCCATCTCCGCGGGTAAGATCGGGGATATTTTTGCCGATTGAATAATTTACCGGCACAAAAATACGGGAGACATCATTCAGTCCGCTGCGGACTGTTAAATTTCAGCGAAGCGACCCAAGCGGCCCAAACGGTATTTCGTACTTTTCCGCGGCGAAATATTTAGTCGAGGAAATGACATATCGTGTCATTGCGTGTTACCCAATACCCAGGCGAAAGTTACTCGCGTTCGAGCCGAAAGAACTGACGAACTGATGCGGCGGGAAGAATTAACAATCTCATGGTGATTTAACGCTGCCAAAGCGAGGCAGAGAAAGCGCGCATCTTTACAACGCATCTTTGTTCTCGCGCCTCTACGTGCTCACGCAACAGCCCCGAATTATATCAAAGAGAAATACCCTGCATTTGTGCGCAACAAAAACATGCGAATTAATTAGCTGCAACCCTCTCCGGCCGACCAGCAATTGATCACGATTCCAGCGTTACGATGACCTATTTATCGGATTCACGAGGGACTGCGCGTTAAATGGCACGTCATTACCGCGGCCCTCTCTCTCTCTCTCTCTCTCTCTCTCTCTCTCTCTCTCTCTCTCTCTTTCTCTCTCTCTCTCTCTCTCCTTCCTTTCTCTCTCTCTCTCTCTCTCTCTCTCTCACACACACACACATACACACACTCTCCGTCGACACAGGTAGCAACTTTTTCCGCATTCGTCTCGCGCGTCGTCTCAGGAGCGACAATGGCGCGGGTTTTAATCTCCCATGGGAGATGCGTCTGCGAATCGTCTCGAGGTCGCGACTCCTGCCAGTCGATACGAACGTACCTACGGCCGCGTTCGGGCATTTGTCACGTCGAGTCGGTCGGTCGTTTTATCGGTCAATTAAACGCACGTTTGAGAGCGCGCATACGGTCGAAGAGAGCGAGAGCTCTCTCGCCACTCACTCGAAGGAGCTTCCTCGCCGCGAGGAGAGGAGCTCGCATTCGGTTTACAGGTGTCCGCGGCGACACTACGCCTCCTCTCGCTACCGAATGCTCCTGCTCTCCCCCACGCGGTGGCGTCTATCGTTACGAGTACTCTCACCCCTTTCTCTACCGGCATCGGAGCTCACTTCATTACTCGCTTCCACCCACCACGTCGGCGATGCGATCGAAATTCCCGGTCGCGAGCGCGAGCCAAGGGTAGCCGCGCCGGGAACAAGAGCGCTCGATATTCGCGCGTGCGGCCGTGCGTAAAAAAGCGATCCCGTCCGAGACCCCGAGATGCGAGGGCCCGAAATACCAGAGAGATGCCAAGCGCTTTCGACTTGGCTCGGAAGAGGCCTCGCGATGTCGCGAGTAACAATCCATCGAACCTGCGGAAGACTCGACGAGCTAGTCCGAGCGGTCCGGACGACCAACTGCCGCACACCGCGAACGACGCCGCGCTGTATTTGTCGCGCGATCGTTTTCTCTCGAGTCGCGAGCACGCTGCCGCGATTCCCGACCTATACTCTCTCTCTCTCTCTCTCTCTCTCTCTCTCTCGTGCTCTCTCGCTATCATCTATCTATCTGTTTCAACGAGGCTCGAGGGGCGCGCGGGTGTGCTATCGCGACTCTTGGCTGCAGCACGGACCTGCGTTCGCGGCCTGGCCGGCGATCGTCTTCCTCGTCTCACTACAGTTCACCGCACGTTCCATCCTTCCGCGGAGCAGCACCACCACCTCCGCCTCCTTCCCTGCCTCCTACTTCAGCGGAGCGCAACACGGTGTTGCCCGTATCCAGGCAACTTCGCGGAGCGTGGCTGCTCCCTCTGCCAGCGAACTGTTTCACGTAGACAGCGAGAATTCGCCGCTTTTCTTCGCCGTTTTTCGCTCTCGCGCCCTTTTCTTTCCTTCTTCCTCCCGCTCGCTCTTTCTCTTTCTTTCTCTCTCTCTCTCTCTCTCTCTCTTTCTCTTTCTTTCCTCTCTCTTTTCTCTTCTCCTTTTCCTTCTCTCTTTCTCTCTTTCTCTCTCTCTCCCTCTCTTTCTCTCTCTCTCTCTCTCTCTCTCTCTCCCCCCTTTTCTTCCTTTTCTTCTCTATTCTTCCTTCCGCCGCTCTGCTGACCTCGCTCTGCTCCCTCGTCGCACTCCACCTCTTCAGCAGGGGTCACGCGTTCGCGCGAACGTGCATTCTCGTGTATCCGCGTTTACCGTCGTCGCTCTTCCTGTCCTGTTGCGGCTATCCCACCGTCTCCTACGCACTCCCATTCGTCGCTCCCACGTTCCCACGTCGCTCTACGTGGCTCTCCGATTCTTTTATCCGTAACTGTTGTTGTCCGGCGAAGTCGTTCCTCTCGCGCGCACGGTTCTACCTCGCATCGCGGCGGCACCGGATCCAACACGAGCGAGATGCGCGAACACGAGTACTACTCCGAGTACGCGTTCACCACGGCGATCGTGACCACCACGACGTGCGCGGTGACGAAGACGACGAGGAGACGCGTAGCCTCTTGTACAGGCGGCACGCACAGGGTGCACGCCGCGAAGTTCGACCGAACGTGGCAACTCGCGTTAGACTGAGACAGCGGCTGACAAGAGGAAAACGACGAAAGATCAGAGAGACGGGGATGGAGAGAAAGAGGTGGCGGAGAGTAACGGAGATAAAGAGAGGGTAAGAGAAAGAGAGAGAGAGAGAGAGAGAGAGCGAGAGAGAGCGAGAGAGAGCGAGAGAGAGAGAGAGAGGGAGAGAGAGAGAGAGAGAGAGAGAAAGAGAGAGAGAGAGAGAGAGAGAAAGAAAGAGAGAGAGGGATGGATACACGGAGGATGGGGAAAACCGCCTCGTCCCTGCGAACGGGTGTCCGAACCGGAAACCGAAACCCCCGAAAAAGGAGGCGGTCGGGGTCGTGTACGAGCTGCCGGTCGAGCTCTCGCGACTCGCAGCCACCGCCGCGATATAGACGCGAAGAGCGCTCCCCACGATAGGCATAACCCTCCTCCGCCACCTCCACCGTCGAGCAGCTACCCTCCCCGCTGTCCCTACCTCCCGTAGCCGCCTCCGGTTCCCACCACGATTTCGCGGGAGGCTGCGGACTGGACCAGCACGCAACCAGCGTGGCCCCCACCACGTCGAGAGCACTGGCGGAGTAGACTCGGGGGTGCGAGGCTCGCGCGGGGAGCATCGCGGGGCTCGAGGGGGCGCGAGATGGCGGGTGAGGCAGGCGGCAGGGAGTATGGAGGAGAGAGAGTACCGGAGAACAGCATCCCCGAAGCCCACCCCACAGATCAATATTGTGCCCACCACCGTGTACCGGAGAATTCGCCCCGTCTCTCTCGGGTGGTCGTCGCATGCCACATGTTCCGTCTCTCTCACCCCCGACTATCCCTTCGCGAAGCCCCCATGGCTCACGGCCGTTGCCGTGTGTTGCGAGCTCGCTCCCCCTCCCTTCGCTCTCTCTCTCTCTCTCTCTCTCTCTCTCTCGCTCTTTCCTTCCCTCTTCCTCTACTCCCCCTATTTGTTCCTCCCTCTTGCTCACCCTTATTCTCGTCTTCTCTCTCAAGGGTAAGCGCGCGAGGGTGTACGTTGATTCCATCGCGACCGTCGCGAACGATGCTGGAGCATGGTCCAAGTCCGCCAAGGGGGATTAGCCTCGGCGGTCGAGATCCCAGGGACGGCATAGTTTCGGTGCACCAAGGGTGCCGACACGACAGGGAAGATAAGTAGAGGGCGGATGGACACCGGGATTAACGGCTAAATTGATTGTTTTCGAAATTGCCGGGAAAACGCGTGTCTAAGATGAGCTCACTCGGATGGGGGGAGGGGGGACTCGATGGATCGGACGGGGTATCGAGCGTTTCGGACGTAACGTTGTGCGTTTCGTACTCGCTCACTGTATCCCGTCCGAGACTGTATTGCGACTCACAAGGGTCGCACGATGACCCTTCTCGCGATTCCGCAGCAAGGGACCGGCTGTGAACGCAACCAGGAGCTGCGATGTCTTGATTAATTGGAACTTTAGCGCGGACTTGGGTCGAGAAATATTTACATGGTAAATCCTATTTGCTAAAGGAGAACACCACGCTAACGCAACTGTTCAGCAAACAATTACTTTAAAGCGCTCGCCGGAGAAAACAATTTGGAGTACATCAATGTGTGTTAGCGTGCTCTAATTGCATACGTATAAACGCTTACGAAATTAGAGACTGTAATTACCATCGCGTCCGATGTGGAATATTGCTCCACGTATTTCCCATTATTTTGATCCAACGCTGCGAGCAGCAAAATGTTGCTGCAGGCTCGATAAATCGATACGTTACAGGCAGTACCTTTACCAACAGCTGTTCGCTCAGGAGATTGTAGCAATGCAGGGCACGTCATGCAGGGCGCTTCAGTCAGCTAAAGTCTATCGGGCGGGCAGCGGAATTCGACGGGAATAACGTAAATGCTTTAATAATTTATTCGCGATGCTCATTACGTGACTCTTGACGCGAATATTTCTCGATGAGGAGATGAATAAATTTGCAGCTGTATTTTTGCGCAAACGCTGCTTCTCTCTCAAGCCGCCGTCGATAATTTCTTCTCTGGAACCTGCCAAGGTGCACGTCGGATTACTCTACCTAGCTATGAACGTGCAGCGAGGCGGTGCATTTCACGGTCGATAACGCTATACCGAATGTTGTTATCGAGCTTACCCGAACGTTGTTAAACGAATTTTGACGCGAGTATGTTCCGCGAGGAGAGACAGCCTGGTCGAGAAACCAGGTTTCCTGCGCGCGTACTTTTACCAAAGATGTTTTCCATATTCGATAACTCGAGTGGATATTTCACGTCAACCGTACGTCGCCAGAACTACAGTCACTACAGACGGAATTTTACTTCCCTCCACACCCCATTATTTATTACTATATTCGCTTCGCAACGATTGTATTCTTCTTTCTCAGACGCTAAGGAGACGTTGTGATATTAGTCTGAAACTCTTTTAAAGCCGATCGACCGCCGATATAATACGAATGTAATATTCAAAATTGTAATGGATCCCTCTACTCGACACAATCAATGGAATTTATTTATTCGTCAAATTTATTGATGAATATTGATACTTCGCTCAATAATAGCATAGTCGGAATAAATTATGTTAATAATTCATATCCGTATAACTATATTTAATAGCACTGATTAAAGTTCTCATTATACAATGGAATTGCAATTAATAATTTGTAATTGCCCATAAATAACAAACTTAGGCGAGTGCACATATATAAGTTAATTATACTTCTAAACAATGTTACACACAGCCACGAGCTCGTGATTAAACAATTCCTATTATTTTCCGCGTATTGTGTGTACAACATTTCGCGTGAGCATGATATAATATGCTTAATGAAATATTTTCGTCGCGGTATCACACGTTCAAACAGAGCGGGCAGAGTCCACGCAGAGCGAGTAACGCGCGCTGATTCCACGCGGAAGATTCAGGTATTTCCCCACATATATACGAGGTCGTTTACTCATTGTTATAACTTCCTTAGAAGCCATTACAAAGAGGCGCGCTCCTCCATTCTAAGATAATTCGGCTGACACAAAGCTGCAGCTACCAAAGTTCACGGCGGCGGCGGCGGGGGGAGGGGGAGCCGGCAATTTGCCATACGCTACATTAAATTTCACAAAAGCGGGGGAGAAACGCTCGCTACGCCGGTATAATCACTAATCAAAACTACGTTTCCAGAGCGTGTCAGACATCGCATTCGTTGCGTACCACTTGGGGCAACATCGAATACAATTACCTACCTACTCAGTATGCTAATTACCGCGAGACGCCGGATGAGATAATATATCGTCATCTTGCCGCGTCTCGTCTCGAGATGGTCAAGGCTGAGACTCTCGCCCGCTCGCTTCCTACGAGCGAAACAATGCGTTCATAAATTCGCGCTGCGCTGGCAGATTAATCGGCGTAAAAAATCGCCGACATACAAATTTCGTGCGCGCCCACGAATCCTCGAGTTTTAATTTTTAACGCATCCTCTCCTGACAAAGATCGGCTCGCAAAGGATCGCAGAGAGAAGAATGACGTAAATGGCAAAGGCTGATTTTAACCCTGACCAACGCCTGAAAAGCTCGTAAATAGCAGCAGTGTAAGAACAGAGATCGGATCTGGCTCCTCGTGTCCAACAGAGACTACGAGAAGCACGTACAGATCGATTCGTTTCTTCCTCGCGTTCGGAATGGTCAAGGTTACACGAGACGGATGGACGGACTGGCGGGCGGGCGGGCTCGCTGGCTGGAAGAATGAGTGATGTTTTGTAGGACGCAGGTATACAAGCAGGAAGGGAAAAGTTGCACCTGGCCGAGATGGAACCCGAGAACTCACGCCTCGCATGCTAGCCTCTGTCCGCACTGTACCGACCCATCCCGCTCTCTCGACTAAGGTCCATACCAATACCTTACGGTCGACCGGGTCCCGTCCCTATTTGAAAATCAGCCTGCTGGCCATGCACTCGCCCAAAATAACAGAAATTGTGGAGAAATCAGCGTCCCCTCCCGTGGGGAAGCCGATGGACCATTGTGGCGCCTCGAGACTCGAGACGCGCTCTACGACGGCTCTCCTCGTCGCTATTGTGCAACGACGAGTTAGACGCTCGTACAGATCGCTGTCTCGCGTCGCCCGCAGGCGGTTTGACTTCTACGCTCTTTTCAATCTCATTGCACTTTAATGCCGATTGCACGAGGCGCACCAGGTGTCACGGCGATATCCCCCTGACGAATGACGATCGCTCTCTCTCTCTCTCTCTCTCGCGCGCGCGCGCGCGCGCAAGCGACCCTCTCCGTGGACTTTTATTTACGACGCGCGACGAATCCGATGCGGAACGCTCGGTTAAATGCGCGCGGGGACAAAGTTCTCTCCTGGTCTGTGCGGCAAGGGGAAAGGGGGAGGAGGGGGATGAA